GCACATTCATGAAATTTAACTTTTGCTTTAACCTTGTAGATAAGACTCTCAAGTTGTCCCTTTGTTTTCATGTACACATGCGCAGTAGATTAATGCCATTTTATATATACGATGTACTTCGCATTAAACCTTTGAATGCCTTTTGATACTCCATCTGACTGGTGTGACTTCTCTGAATATTCCCAGCAGCTGAATTTACACAGAGACAAGGAAAACAGAAACGTGTTAGTGCATAAGTCCATGGCAGGGTAAGGGTTTGAGACCCCAGTGGTGAATTTTTCAGCAGTCTAACAATGATGAATCTGGCTTCATTCTTTATGGCCCACATTTGTGTATAAATCGGTGCAACATCATATAGTGTGTGGTTATAACAGAGCAATATCTGGTGCATTCACTAGTATTGATTGTATCATTGTCTATTATTGCATATCTCACATCTTTGGGAGGTATGAGATTGGAAAGGCCTAAGGGTTATGGCAAGGACTAAGGGGTATGTCAGTGACACAATTTGTATCACTGGTTATGTGCAAAGTCCTCACAGAAAGTATTGAAAGTATGCAAGGCTGGTTGACAGTCTGACGACTGGCCCTCCTCGGGGCAGACTGTATGGAGAGTGCTGCTAAAGTGCTCTCTGCATGATCCTAGTGCCCCCGTACTGTACCAGCTACTTGATGTCCTTGGATGCGGAACACCAGGGAACCAACAAACAGGAGACCCTATAGCGGGAAATATCTCTCTAGGACATTTTGGAGACATGTCATTGTTACTCGTAGAACCAATCCCTTAATATTAGTAACTTAGTAACAATGAACTTCTGCTGCCTGAATAAACTACTGATTATCATCTGAGTATAACTTTGCTTTTTCTCTTTTATTACCTCCCTATTGAATGTAACCGCTCTGCATACATTTACTGCCATGGAAGTCTGTTTCCATCTATTTTTCAAGTGCATTACCCTGCTAACCACTAACTAAACCCTGCTACAGGATAGGACACAAACTTGTTTTTCTGGCTAAAACAAAAAGTACAAAATAGAACTGTGTATGAGTCATTATATGAGGCTTACAATCTGATATGAAAGGTCACCATACCCCATCGTCCTATCCATGTGGTAATATCACATAAAATTCTAGAACATGGAATTTTTTTTTCTTAATGTACAATAATCATATCATAACAGGTTGTCAATCTAGTAGTTTATTTGTACTAAACATGTGCATGACAAAAAAAAATTTGTTTTGGCCAAACTGAAAAGAAAAAACATTTCATTATAGACAGATTCTGGCCATATTGTGGTTTACCCGAATCTCATTATTGAAAACGAAATTAACAAAAAGGCATGAATATGGGCCAATCGGTGTAATGCAAAATAAATACTATATTTTTGCACAATACATATGCACAATAGAGGGAAAAAAGAGGAGTAGTAAATAAATCTATTTGTATTTATATATTATACATGTATTAAATATAGATTAATTTATTTTTTTTACTGCTCCTTTTCTTCACTCAGTTGGTCATTTCTAACTTGATTTGTGAATAAAACCAACATTGTGACTGTCTGATAGCCATTAATGATCTTTTTTTTGGTACAGAATTTCAAATCACTAACCAAAACGAACAAGCCCGTCCTTTGTGTGATTTATTTGGGTCGTGATTTGGCTACATTTCAGTTTGAAGTTGGGGAATTTTATACAATCACCCATTTGGCCAAATCTGGCCAAATTGCAGTTCATAGTAAAATGAATCTCCAAGTCTAAATTGCACAGAGTATTCTATGAAAAGTTTTCTCTGAGATGGTCTTGCAGATTAATGATCGAATGGGAAGTTCTATCACATATTGCGTAATGTGTTAGTATAACTCTGAAAGATACTGCCTCAAGTTTGTTAGAATATATGATTAACTTTCAACAAGAAGCTAACAATTGCTGGCAAAGTAGGAAACTGTAACCCAAGCAATGTGTACCACCTTTGGGTACAGTGGCAGATGTCAATTGGGTGGTCAGGTCCTCCTTGTTTTCTCTGACAACAATCACGTCTTTATGGTTTAAAGCAGGACAAGAAGAGTGCTTCTCTATTTTATGCAACATTTTGTTCTAATGAGACAGAAATAGAAAGATTGGTGTCTGCACTTATTTAGTATTCCATTAGCAAGTAGCATTGTAAGTCTTATAAGGCAGAAGGTTAAGTTGTTTATTATACCAGCAGTGTGTTTCACATATCAACACAAGGAATGGGGGGAAAAGTCTTTTGTTGCCTGACAATAGACAAAACGTACAGGAATGAGGAATTCATAAATTAAGAATAGCGAGAAAGTAGGGCTATAAAAGACATCAGTAGAAAATCTATACACACAAGTAAGAGTTAAGAGTTTGATTAATTGAAGGACATGGGAGCAAGATAGCTAATAAAACTTTTTCTGTACTCGTTAAAGGAACACATCAGGGCTCCATCAGCACTGCTTCAGAAAACATAAAACTAGTTTAAATAGACACTCTATTGCCCAAATAAAACCCCCACTATTTGGTAGATGTATCCCCAATGACGTCATGCCCAAACTTTGTGGCTGGAGTCAACTGTGGCTGTCTAATCATAGACTTCTCAATGTAGCTCAGTGAGAAGTCTTTGCAAGGTTGGTGCTCTGGTTAATTGCTGCCTCTTGAGTTTAATTCAACTGAGCTAACCAAACCAGGAAATGACATTATTTGTTGTATGTTTGAAAGTCAGGGGGTGTAACAAGTTTAATTTATAAAAGTGCCAGTTTCTATTGACATCTTCACTTTTTGTAAAATTAATAAAGACACCAAAAGCATCTCTGCAATATGTGGAGTTTTATGGGTCTAGAGCAGGCATAGGCAACCTTCGGCACTCCAGATGTTTTGGACTACACCTCCCATGATGCTTTGCTAGCATTTTGGGTGTGAGAGCATTATGGGGGATATAGTCCACAACATCTGGAGTGCCGAAGGTTGCCTATCCCTGGTCTAGAGTGTCTTTTTAAGGCTGATGCAAAAAAGTAATAGGATTTTAAAAAATGGAAACAAATCTTCAAAGTTTAAGAGTCTCAAATACAAACACTACTCACAGACCGCTGTTTTTTCCACTAAGTTCATACCTGTGCATAGGCGTTTTCAAGGGATACATCAGGGGTGTCCAGGAGCACCCTAATGCAAGGACACATTTTTTTTTTCACTGTCACCTGTTTAGATCTACATGGGAATTTTTTCTACAAGAGTGGGCGGGGGATCATGACTATCCTTGTAAACATGTTAATTGCTGGAGAAAAAAAAAAGTGTATTTCACTTCATTTTTTTGAAATTAGTATTTTTAAGTGATGTTTGGATGGTAATTCCCTCTAGGTGCACACCTCAAAGCAGTATGCTGCACACGCCAGCGTCACTGTGCGCTGGGTTTTAATTAGAGCTGATTGAGGTTGAATGGTTACAATGTAGCTGTTACACAAAGCCTGTCTGACTCAGTGGAAAAGTTACTTTAAATTAATTACTTACATGGATATTTTATTATTTTTGGCAATACATTGGGGAGTGTGGTCTGTGATGTTTTACAACTAGTGATGTCCCGAACGGTTCGCGAACGGTTCGCCACGAACGGTTCGCCGCGGACTCATCATTGAGTAAACTTTGACCCTGTACCTCACAGTCAGCAGACACATTCCAGCCAATCAGCAGCAGACCCTCCCTTCCAGACCCTCCCACCTCCTGGACAGCATCCATTTTACATTCATTGTGAAGCTGCATTCTTAGTGAGCTGTCCAGGAGGTGGGAGGGTCTGGGAGGGAGGGTCTGCTGCTGATTGGCTGGAATGTGTCTGCTGACTGTGAGGTACAGGGTCAATTCGAACAAGGTCAGCGGTATGTGTAGCCAAATCCATGGAACTGAAACCAGCTACACATTTTCACGAACACCGCTGACCCTTCTCCTACACTCCGTTTTCAGCTTCAGAGACCAGTTCGGCAGTTTGAACTCACTGCTATACTAAGCCAAATGCATGAACGGCCCCGTTCATGCATTCGAATGGGACCGACCGCACAGCCCAAATCTATGGAACTGTTTTGGGAAGGAAAATGTGCTTGCGGTCGGTCTTAAAGGACTTCCTTCTAACTTTTGATCTACAGGATGGCTTTGTCTGATTTTTGAGAGTGTTTATGTTTAAAGTATGCTGATTCGGAATATGTGAAGATTGGATGTATGGTTTTAAAGTTATAGTACATGTATAAAACCTGTATTTTTCCTGCCTGTGATAATTATGG